AAACCCGGGCGACGAAAGACGCGTGCGGCATCCGGTGACCCAATGCTGCTCGGGGGTGGAGTGGCCCTTCATACAAGGAGCATGCCGCGCTCTCCCGAGCAGAACGGTCCGTTCGTCATACGCGGATAGAGCTCCCCGGCCATCATTTGCCAGCCCCAGCGCGTCCGCTGTCCGGACGCCCTTCACTCTGGAGGCCGATTCGTCATAGGCAATTAGAGCTCCTCAGCCTTCATGCACATGCACATGCACATGCACATGCACATGCGTTGGTAACAGCACGTCCGCTCTCCGGATTTCGCCCGTCGCCGCGGGAGTCGATCCGGTTGCTCATGCGCATGGGAGACGTCAAGTAGCCGCAAGCATCCTGGGACGCCGCAGTGCGCCTTCGCCGCGGTCCGGAAAGCGGCCCCTTGGGACGAGCGCATAGCTCTACTTGCTTAGTGGGAGCGCATCTCGTCGCGCATCCTGGTATGTCCGATACGCTCAATGAGGCGTGCCGCGCTCATCTGCGCGCGGAGAGCCGGTGGACGCGGGAACCGCGAAGCGCAGTACAAGCGTTCGGAGTTCTCGAAGAGAAGCCGGCCGCATGGGAGCGTCCCCTGTAAGTATACGCTTGAGAGCGCAAGAGAGCGTGAAGAGAAAGAGATTGAGTGCGACGCGCGGGATCTGTCATCTCGTCGGCTTGAATATAGATGATATCCAGGTCGGCGGAGCGAAGGACGATACGAGACGCGTCAGAGCCCGGGTCTAGGTTTAATTATGCTAAATTGCCGGCATCGCACCCGTCTTTTTCCCGTCGGCGGGGGGTGCCGCGGAACAACTGCCAGTGGAGAAGAGCGACTTACGGGAGTCTGGCAGCAGTGCTGCATAGTGACCGTGACGGCGACCGCGTGCCATGAATTGCTGCAGGGAAAACGGAGCGCATGTCGGGTGGACGTCGGATGTTAGGCGAACGATAAACGACAGGGCGCGTGTCGGGCTGGATCTGTGTTGCTGTTCTGATTGCCGGGTGGGTGTGAGTATGTATAACGGGTACTGTATTGTGTGTGTCGCGTGCGGCGCGCGGCTGCAGTTTACTTCCCTGGTAAGTCAGTACCATAAGCAGGTTCGTCCGTCCGCCGGCAACTCACTGATGTTTTTTGGCGGAGGGGACCGCGCAGTTGCGCGCTGGGATGATGACCGAGATGCCGCCCATGCCGGCATCTTCATTCGCGAAGGCGGAGAGCGCAAAACGGACAGACAGAAGATGTTGATTAGGGTAGCTAGGGGTGCGGAGTGCGGAGAAAGAGAAGAGAGCGGAAGGGGCATCTTTACATATGCCATATGGGAAGCGCGAGGGAGTTTTGCTCGCTTGGCACACGAGCCAATCCGGGCTGGGTGAGTGTGGGAGTGGGCGTGAGCGCTGCTGAGAAGGATGAGGACAAGGGCCGGCCCAGATGGTCTAGGACGACGAGCTGGGGAGAGAAAGACGGAAGGCGAGGGGGAATTGCTTGGAAGGCGGACAGCGGGGTTGGGGAAGATCAGTCTTGGAATCGTTGGCGAGACGGCTGGTCATCAGGCCGTCCGGGGCTGTCCGGACGGCGAATGTGGCGCAGTTGCGAGGTGAGTGCAAGTCGTTACGAGCAGCAACATATATACATACATACAGCTCAAGTTGGATGCGTGGCAGACTGGATCACCGTATCTAAGGGAGATCTCGCCATCGGCGTCTCCTTCGCCTTCGCTTGGCCATTGGTCGGGCGGAGCGAGTCGGAGGCGCTGGCTGTTACCCGACCGTGGCCTTTGTGCGACTGTCTATCATCCGACATTCTTCTTGTACTCTCGCACGGCGATTGTGGATGCTGCACCGAAGTACACACCGCAGCTGCACGAACACGCTCCCGATGCGCCCTGCCACGCTGCAGCATAAGGCGCGCCCGCACACTAGACAGACGTCTAACAGCCCAATGAATTGCACATGGCACATTAACCTACCTCCCCGTCCAATCCCCTGCTCCTCCCCCTCTCCTTTTCCTCAAATAGTCGTCATATAGCGTCGCCTTGCTCCCACCTTCCGCTCATATATGCCTCTTTGAGTTCCCGTCCCGTTCAATTTGGCCTTTGTGCTCACCCCTGCTTCAGCCTTCTCCAGCCCTTCCGCACCTCCCCGCTGCCAGACAGCGTGTGCACATCACCCCATTCACTCGGACCCGGTATATCCAATCCCACAGTCCTGATCGTGAGCCTGAGCCTGTGTCCCCGCGGCGACCAAGCCCGTTCTTGGCGAGAAGCGCACATTCCACGGACCTCTGCGAAACGAAGTCACAGACGCGAACCCGGCCCACGCCCCACCGTCTCCCTGGGTCCCTCCCGCGTTAGATCTCTTCCTTTCTGCGTTCATATACCAGCCCTTACCGCCTCCCGCGCTGACACGCCGCGGGCTTCTTCTCCGAGCTTATATACCGCAACAGATTCCAGCTCGCACCTTCGCCTGTCCTCCCTGACCTCATCCCCCTCCCGCTGCCCTCCCGCCTTCTGTGTCCCTTACAACCCCGTTACGGCCGTATTCCCAGCCTACACGCGCGTGCTCGGCTTGGCCCGTCTTATCTCTACTCAATCTCGCCTCGCCAGCCCCACCACCACCACCACCACCACCACCACGCCGATCTCAACGCGGCCCCTGCTGCCGCACGCGCCCCCCCTCGCCGCGCTCTCCGTCTCTGTTCTCCCCACCCTCGCCGTCATGTGCGCCGCATTGCTAGACTTCGACTTTGACGGGAGCCTGAGCATGCGCGCCGCGCTGCCGCTCGCGAAGATCGCCGCGCTCCTTGCGACCGGGTGCGCCGTGCACCGCTCGCTCTCGCCCCCGAACCCGCCCCCGGCCCCGAAGACGTGCATCGACAACAGGACGCTGTTCGAGCGCGCGATCCGGCACGTCACATACTGCACAAAGGTCAGTGAGTGCTCAGCGTCGGTGTTCAGCTCGGGGGCGTGCTGCGTCGAGTGTGCTTCTCTATTATTATTCCCGTTTGGCGCTCGCCGTATCTGCGCGGCTCGCGGCTCGCGGCCCTCGTGTCGGCATTGCACGTTCAGCAAGAAGCGCGAACCCATGGCCACCGCAGCCCCCGGCTGCGGTCGTCCCGGACGTTGGTTTGCAAGTGCGCTCCCCGTGTCCTGTTTGTCTGTTTTGTTTCTTTGGCAGTGACGCGCACGTTCGGCCGAAGGGAAAGTGCTGACTCGTTTGCCCCCTTTTGACTTGACTTGTTTCGTGCATCGCGAAGATGATGACATGGGCGTTCGTGCTCTGCGACGCGCTCGTCACCCTCCACCTCGCGTTCCCCTCGCCCCTCACGCGCCCGCTCGCGTCCGCCCTTCTCCCCGCCCTCCCCCCGCCATACGCGTCCGACCGCTCCGCGTTCTCCCTATCGCCTCCATCAACATCACCACCATCGCCCCCGCCCCCATTCCCATATGCGTCCCTCACCTATCCCTCGCCGCTCCTCCTGCTCGGCACCGCCCTCGCGCTCGGCGGCGCGCAACTCCGCCTCGCGTGCTTCCGCGCGCTCGGCGCGCTCTTCACCTTCGAGCTCACCATCTCCCCCACCCACACGCTCGTCACCGCCGGCCCGTACGCGCACGTGCGCCACCCGAGCTACACGGGCGTGTACGCGCTGCTCCTCGGCGCGAGCGCGGTTCTGCTCGCCCCCGGGGCGTGGCTCGCGGAGGCGTGGCTGCGCCCGGGCGCGTGTGCGCTCGCGGGGTGGGCGGGGCGCGCGGTTTGGCGCGGTGTGGTGGACGCGGACGACGTGGGCTTCGGCTTGGCGCAGCGGGCTGATGAGGCGAGGGTGGCGCGGACGGCTGTGCTGGCGTGGGCGTTCGTGAGCTTCTGGGTGGCCAAGGTCGCGTACGCGCTCAAGAGCACGAACAGGCGGGTCGTGACGGAGGACAGGGAGCTGCACCGCGTGTTCGGGGCGCGGTGGGAGGAGTGGGCGGCGCGCGTCCGGTGGCGGCTGGTGCCGGGGGTGTACTGACACTCGGAGCGCGGGGCTGCACGAAAAAGGAACGAGGAGGAGAAGGAGGAGGAGGAGGAGGAGGGGGGCGCGGGACCATAGAGAAACGTTGGACCTAGATTCAGCATCGCACGCACGCGGTTCGGCGAGTTTCGAGTTCGGATTCATTCGCACATCCGCACATCCGCAGCAGCACGAGCATATTCGCTCGTCGACGTCCGCACATACATCATGCATCGCATCGGATACCCGGCTCCCGGTTCATATTGAGTTATCTTGGCGTACCTGTATCTATATTTTGCCACAATTTGCTACAGCGAGAGGGGCCGTCCGCCGCACTTCGTGCATTTGCATTGAAGATTAGGACGTGCTGATGTGTGTGGGCAGTGGCTTACTTATTCTTGTATCCAGTACTTGTCCTCGTGTACGTACCGCGCGGTGGCTGTTGTCGTGGCCCCGACCGCGAACATCGCGAACCCATGACCGCTAGATCCGGTTCGCGTCATAAAAAAATCTGTACATACTTTGCGTTCTCCAAGGCCCGAGAATCCGCGCACTCCGCGACGGGCGAAAACGCAGAGCAAGCACGAGAAGCACGTACGATCGTGTGCCTGATCGCGGTTCCCTGGCCCCCGTCTGTCAGACAGCCTTACGCTTTGGCTCAGACTCTCGACTAGAGCTATGCCGGCGGGCGGTGCCTTCGGGCCTGATAGCGTTGCGCCCGGTTATGGACAAGGACGTGCTTTGTCGGGCGTGCGTGCCGCGCGCGGTCGCGTGGCCGTTCGACAGCGGCGACCTTGTCGGACAGCGTGGCGCCGTCGGACGTGTTCTTGAGAGCGGGGCACACGGATACAGTGTGACGCGCGCGGGCGAGCGTGTGCGAGAAGCGCGTCTCCGAACGCAGCGGACGTCGGGCCCTGTTGCGCTCAGCGGGATCGGCGCCCGCTGGTTGTTTGAGAGCCGTGGTTTGGCCTGGGAGCGGGCGCGCGCGGGCACACGGGAGCCGGTGCTGCCCTGGGCGCAGGAATGGGGATCGGGCTCCTGGATGTGGGTGACGACAGGGCTCGGACGCAATGCGCAGCTGGAAGCTCCCTCCTGAAACACCGTGGAGGGGCAGAGCTCAGTTCTGAGAAGGCATGGGTGTGCAATGTCGTAGTATGATGACCCACGATGCTAGGCGCGTCATAGAATGACACCGATGCTCCTGCGCGCATAGAACGGTCAGTAACGTAGGGAGACCTATCCGATATTGCATCGCGCAGGGTCTTGCTCACCAGCTGACAATCCGCGTAGGGGGGGAGAACGTGAGCGGTGAGAGAGGCTGCCGGCAGCGGGTCCACCGTACCCGAGGTATAAGCGCAAGGTTTAATTGCGGTCCAGCCCCGAAGCGGAAGAGCGCTCTTCTGCATTCGCTTCTGTGAGATAGAGCACAAGAGAAGAGCCCCGAGTAGATCTCGCCTCACGCTCTTGTACGTATTCTCCGCTTGGCGGCCATTATGCATAGCTTCTGGGATGAACGGCGCGTCGCACGAGGAGCTCTGGCGAGGCTTTATTTCTGCGGGTGCATGTGAGCGGTATGAGAAGAAGGCGGGAGCAAACGTGGTCGTGTACAAATGTCCACGGCGGCGATTCGGCGTGGATATCGAGGTGGGTTCTCGCACCTATGCTTCGACGCCAGTAATTGGCACGTCGGACCTTTTAACTGAAGCAACGTACATCGGAAGGCTGCAGCGCGAACATCTGACTCGTGTGGGAGTTGACGATGCGCAAGTTGGTGTTGCTTTGAGGTGGGGATCTGGTATCGTTCACCGCTACGAGAGTAGAGACACTGACACGGACGCCCCCAAGACAGAATGTATGCTGCTTGATGCGGAGGTGTGAATCAACATAAGTGACAGTAGAGACAATCCTCACGTAGAGACCTCACGAGATGCTTCCTCTTATGAACAGTGGAGATCGACTCCCATCCGGGGGCTTCCTTCCGATGTACGGATACAAAGACGAGATTACCTACCTTTGGTATCCCTCGAGTCCCGGCCGATATCCAGACAGGAGATCGCCTGATGTAGGTCACCGTAGCTTCGCAGGGATGGCAACGCTGAAGGCAGGTCAGCTGATGGGGACGCGTGCGTCCAGGGCCTTCTCCGAGCACCACGTTAATCGTCAGAGATAAGCAAAAGTGTGACATTCGCGTGGGCTTCGCGGTCCAAGGCGGGTCAACTCGAGGGTCTAGCGCGTCGACGTAGGGATCATCAGTCTCGGGGACCTCGTCGATAGAGTGTATGAGAACATGCGCACCTATGAAGCGCGCAAAGCCCACCAATACTCTCAAGCCTCAACTACGACTACGTAAAGTGAGAGCTATAACTGGGCATGTGTTCTTGTATTTTACCTTGGCCCGCGGGTTGTCACTAGTAAGAACACTAGGCGACTCGCAACTCCGAGTGAATGCGGTGTGAGAGATACTGGAGGATCGCATAAGATGAGGTCAAGCTGAATAAAATCTGACCATCACGGCGAAGGGAGGCCCGACTGTGGGAATATGTGGGCGCCTGTCCCGAGGGTAGGGGGGCTCGCACTTCGAGTTCTCCTGAGACCAACACTCATCGAGGATCCGACGAGGAACACCAGTACTATTCCAACATCATCTTTGTACGTGCCTTGCTCTCTGCGCACTTCAATTATTGGTATGAGCTTGTTCTCAATGTGCCTCTGGAGCAGGAACCGATCCGACTAGCCACACTCGCAGTCTCAGAAGTTACGGGATTAGCAGGTAGTCGTGCCGGATTCACAGGCATTCAGATGGAAGGTCTCCCTGTCGAGCTCCTCATTGCCATCTTCCTCCTATCCAAGAGTCAGAATCGGAACCACCCGGACAAGACATTTTTGACGACGTTATAGAAGAATATGATCGTCCTGTGCCTAACTGGATATCACTTATGCTAGTCTGCCGTCGCTTTCACGGCGCCATCCTTGCGACCCAGCCCTATGGTCTCGCATCCCTGTCCACCAAAAACGTACACGCACTCCAACAACGTCTCTCCCGTAGTGGGGATTCCCTTGTGGATCTCGTGTTCAGGACCGCATGTGGTTCGGCTCTGCCTATCGTCATGTTACATACCTCTCGTATCCGCTCTATCGTCACCATTCCAACATTCTCCGTCAACCACATCGACTCTATTATGGCTCTCCTCAGCACGGACCTTCCTTCACTCGAAGAAGTGCACGTTGTACCGCAAATGCACACGGGACGGGACTAGAGTGTCTCAATTGGCGTCAGATCCCAGGTGTCAATCCATTGGTCAACGAGGCATCCCATCCTAACGTGAAGCAGCTCACCTCCTACCGGCTACTTCTTCCCTCGACCAAGTCAGCCTTCTGGTCTCATCATCTTCGACATCTGGACATTTGATACGGGATTTTCGACTGCGAACGCTTAGGTGACACTGCATCTACGTAGATCCCTATGGTACTAGAGACTTCTATCGAACCAAGTCAACGCCTAATCGTACAGTTGGGAGTCTTCTGTGCTTTACCTCTGAAACAGAGGCCCGCCTAGTAGTATAGTCGAGATTTTTGTATAGAGGAAGGCCGGATGATGTGCAAGGAGAGAAGAATATGAGCCATGCGCAGATCCCTGTGGAAGGTGCTTAGCTGACGTGCACTCAAATTGTTCGTGCTGATCCGCACAACGGATGGAAGGGTCGCTTTGAGCACCGAAACGTCTACCCTGGAGCTCGCCGGATCGGTAGCACTCCCTGTCTTGCGCGCGCGGCGCGAGCGATGATGTGGACCAGGATAGTCTTCGCCGCCGCAAGTCCGGAAATCTCGGGGTAGCCATCAATCTGCGAGCGGAAAGAGAGCGCATAGTTATCCCGTGAAAACCCCCTGTACCACCAATCTTCTCGCTCATCAACTTATGTCACGCGTCTCATCCTCATCCGCCCGAATTCTATCGTCGTAAGAGCCCCATAGACGCTGCGTTCACGGTGCGAACCATCATCAGTCTACCAAATCTGTGGTCAACGGAGTTGTCATACTATGGCAGAGAATGTCGCCGTGTTGAACCATGCGCGACTCGAGTGGTGAAGTACTTCCACTGAAGATTCAATGCAAGAATAGTCCCACTATGAGTAGGTTCTGTACATGGCATAAAACAGCATTGGGAGTTGCTGTAGCCGTGCCCTAGCCTCGATGGCGGCGATACGCAGCGAGTCAGAGAAAGTCACGGAGCGGCGGACTCGGATTCTGCCGCACTGCATCTCCGTCTGGGCGCTAGTGTGGCAAAGACAACGGCACCAGCTGACAATTGTCGCGTTGTCCTCCGACTGTTAATACAGTATATAGCTATGGAAGGCCTATATCTTTCATCATGGAAATATGTGGACTGAGATTACGTTATAAGTTGACGGTCACCATACTGATATTGATGGGCGCTTACAGCGGGCCAAGTTTGTACTTGTTTGAGCCTTTCCTACGTGTCCGTCCGTTGCACCGCCATATCGCCTAGCCCCCGTTTCAGTAGAACCTCGCCGTGCTGGCAAGCCTGCCTCCTACGCCCCTGCTATCAATCCGAAATAGCATGCATTTCGTATGCGTATGGATAGAAGAGTAATTTGTGGGTCTCAAGGTCTCGTTGTGCTCAAGCTCAATACACTTCACGCGCTCACTCTACGCAGAACAGTTGTGTTGTTGGATTACGCAACCACGGAAGCGTCAGGCCTTCACTGATACCTTTGGCCCCGTTTGGTACAACCAAGATCACTATAGCCTCTCACTAGCAGAAGAAGCTAACCTTCACCCTCCCCCATCGGCGGATGGACGGAATGGGGCACGATTATGGTAGTCGGAAGACACCGTTCCCAGCGTAGGGCTCCTCATCAGTATGACTATTGTGCCTAGGACACTGGGGTCGGACAGTCGGATGACGTAGATCCCACTGAACTTGGTAAAGGAATGTCAGCGCGCTGGACATCTGGCAGTTCCGTTGCAGTCCCTGCCGACGGGAAAAAGACGGGTGC